ACGTTCAATATCCTCACTCTCTAAGAGCTGTTCGGCAGCTACTGTGCGATGACATGGTGCATTGTCGTCCATGAAAAGGAACTGCGGACCCATAGCGTCTCTAAAAAGACGCACATATGGAAGAAGAATCTCGTTACAATAACAGGTCGAAGATGTGAACCTGCGTCGAAGATGTGAAGGTCTGTAAGACTACCAAGCATGATGTCTCCTCAAACGAGAACACCGCCACCTCCATACCTGTCCCTTTCAATGATGTTCGAGGGATGATTGCGGCTTCCTCGCTCTCTCCAGATGAGTATGCGATGAGAATCGCTACTCAGACTGAATCTGCTCTCATCTGTAAAGAGTACTCGTCCCCATTCATTGTATCTCCAATTCCGGTGTTCCCGGCACCACAGAGAACGCCTTCTCCGATGGGCAGGCGTTAGAGGTAAACACCGTACAGGACGTCGTGCAAACAGACCACCACCGTGCAGTCTTCTGGCCACGGTAAAACGCGATATCGGTCGTCCAGTCGCCTGTGTCGTGTGTCTAGCGATTTCTCCCGCTGTCTGCCGCCTGTTTCTTCTGGCCTGTAAGGCAATATACCGGTCATCTGCGGGTGTGGTTCCTCGTGGACGACCACTACTAAACCCCCGGATAGCTGTTCCTGTAGTTTGAAATTGTCTCCAAAGTCGTGAAACGATGCTGTGAGCTATTCCGAACTCTGCAGCCACACTTGTCACACTGCGGCCTTCCTCCAACTTCCCAATCATTCGACCTCGGGTAAAAGCATCCAGATGTCGTCTAACAGATTGATTATTCGCCATTTCTCGCTGAGGCAGCAACTCGGTGTGATTTTAACTGCTATACGGCATGCAATCTCTTTGCCAGAAATACTGATCTTACACCGACAACATGCTTTATACTACTCAGACATTCTCCCATTACGTCTACCTGCATATCTGCGCATGTGCTACGGTACATCACCTTACTTGATCTCCTGATTGGTCTTTTTGTCCGCTCTGCCTCTTCGTTCAGCTGATATGCTAATTTTTCGACTTCGTCCTTAATTTTTGCACACCAGTGTAAATCTCTTATGAAAGAAATGGGAAGTGAATATGTGGATCTTCCCTTATACAGCCAATGTCTGTTGGCTAAAAGGTTGCTGACCCTTGGGCTAGATCGATATTGCATCACTGAGGAACGAAGGAAAGACACACACACATACATCAACGTCTTACGCAGAGACACCAAATCGGCACCTTGGGTTTCAGTCTAGCAGTTAACCTCTTCTAACTGTTGTGTAGTCCGTAAAAGATTGTAGAGTTCCTCACTTTGGAATTCTAAGTTAATGTTGGAAATGAAGAATCTAAGAACTGATAAGCGAATAATCGCTTTAGTTCGGTGACAAGAAAAACAACAAGATAGAAGGTTAAGTAACCCTTTATTATTCCAATAAGATTTAACAAAAGTCCGTCTGGGAGTGTACAAACAAAGCCCGCACTTGGACTTGAACTTAAAAGACTAAGAATTAAACTAAAATTAAGATTAACTAAAGAAGTATAGGCGAAGCTATCAAGGTTCAGAACGAGTTGGCCCCTTTTCCTTATTTGACTACGAAGCTTAGCAAGGGCCTGAGTACGGCCGAGCGTAATAACAGCTTTGAGAGAGAGAGAGTGACCAAAAAGGCAGACGCGCGTAAATCTGATTCTCTCTGACTCAGTAAGTAACTTCGTGGTTTAAATACCGCTCTTCCTCATTAAATATTCAGCAAGATTCCAAAACTACGTTCTGGCCGGAAGTAGTAAGTTGAAGTTAAGAATTTGACAGGAAAGGAACTTAAAATTTAACTGTTAATAAAAATTAAAATAATACTTACAGATTCGTTAGTCTCGAATTGCTATCTTTTTGTCTTAACTTCAATTGCGTCTTTGGTCCTTTGTTTTTCTGGACCTATTACAGCTAGTTAGGTTTAAATATGAATCCTTCAAAAAAAAAAAAAAAAAAAAAAAAAAAAAAAAAAAAGAAAAGAACAAATAACAGCCTTAAAAAGTGCTTGGCACTCGACTAAAGCGTTCAAAAGCAACCATTTTCTGTTCCTGCCTTAACAATTCCCTTTCCAATCATTAATTGCGTTTGGAATTCTATATTAGTCTAAGATATTTCAAGTCTTTGACTCCCGTTCTCCATATTCCCACATGTACGTACTTTCAAAACTAACTTTATAACAAGAAAAATATTTTGAAATATTAAGTTTTTTTTCAAATATTAAAAAAATATTTTTGTCAGTTTCATAAATGTTTTTATTTCGTTTTCATACATCTGAGAAATAATTTTACTAAATGAAAGTGAAACACACGAATGTAAGATCTACAATTACTCAAAATACCTCTTCTGTAGAAGCAAAGAAAGAAATTTAGATTACGTATTTTATCTAAATGTAAGCATAGAGACCGTGGTGAAGCATAAAATTTAACTTTCAAATTTTTTACAAAACTCATATTTTTAATTAAAAAATTTCAAAATATGAATATTTACATCGCTTAAAACGTTTTTGTAAGTGAAGGTGCATGTCTACGATTAATGATTGCAAGAACAAAAGCCGCATAAGAGCTTTTATTGATATACGGTGATTTAAAATTATCGGACAAAGTTTTATATATGGACGGAAAAGAAAATAAGAATATTAAATAACAGATTGAGTGTGAGTAAAAGGTTCATTGAGGTTGTAGAAAGAGCCCTTGAGCGGTTAGTTTTCTATAATGCTCTACTAGTATGCTCTGCTGGCGTAAATCGTTATTTTCCATGCGCTTTTGAGCGATGTACATCTCTGCACAAATGCGGAGCTCGCTGACATAAATTGTAGTTATTTTAGTTATGCTCCGTTTTAGCAACAGTATTTAAAATATTATTTATATCAAAATTTCACGATTTATGTTTCTATTTAGTAATTTTGCAGCTCATTCTTTAATGTTTTTTTTTTTTTTTTTTTTTTTTTTTTTTTTTTTTTTTAAGGCTTAACCACGGGATTTTTTTTTTAAAGATTTCTGTGGTTAAGACTTTTTTAAATTCTAGAAATGGAGGAGAGAAAATGTAATAGAAAAATTACTCAAATCAAAATTTAACTTTAATTTACTGTAGTCCCATAATTCTGTATTTTAGTTTCGTTACTCCCCCTTCCCTTCATGAAAATAACAAATGTTTTTATCTAAACTCCCTAAACTGTATTGTTACGAAATGTACAGGCGCGGTAAGATGGCTTCCCCGCAAAGTAGTTTTAGTTAGGGTTGCCATAAAATGGAAAGGAAAGGCAGGATTGTCACATTTGGCGAGGAATCGCCCATTTCGTGACATTCGGCGACAAAATTGGCGATATACCATGGACGGATGGAGAACCTTTTGGAAAGAATCCTTACCGGTTTAGCCCAGAATGTTCTCGAACACAAGCCGAAAGCTATATAAACCCTGCTGGTCCGCAGTTAGAATTGAGTGTGTGGCTCGGCTAGCGAGCTGACAGTTAGGTCGAGTTGGTGTCTCGTCTAGTGAGTCAATCCCTGCGGAGTCAATCGAGTTAACAGCCGTGCAGCGAGTGCCGAGTGGGTCGTCGAGTGCACGAAAGAGTCTCGTAGTGTATCGTGGTTAGTGCATCGTCGAGAGAGCGTGTTGAGCTCCAGCAACCACTGAACCGAAGAGTCGGGATCTGTGCTCTGTGTGTCGTCGAGTGCATCGCGAGTTGTAGCGTGGAGATTCCCGAGAGTACGTGGAGTTCCGAGAACGACGAACAAGAGTCGGGAGCTGTACTCTAGCGCTTAGCCGTGAAGCTGTCTCTACCGTGATAGCCTGATCACATGGAGGTTGTGTCACTGATCGTGTCAGCGTGTTAATAGTAGTTCATCGACGACTGTGAACGTGTTTTGGAGCTGTCCTGACAATACTGGCCAATAAAGTGTGTTTCGATACTTCATCAAGTGTCGTCGTTATTCACTCCAAATCTACAAACCCCGTACGAACGTGAAGGAAGAAAATAACGTAACAACTGGAGTCAGAAAAGAAAAACGCAACAGTATCATTTCAAAATTAATCTTATCACGAGATTCTTGCATAAAGTTAATGACGCAGGTACTTTCATAAGGCTTCAACTAATAATAATTTAAAAGTTTGCGAACTAAAAGCCAAACAACCAAACAAAACGAAGAAATTATTTAGCCTTAATAAAACACATTTAAAAAAGCTTTTACTGTTCGCTGGTACAGGTTTTTATTTCAGATATTAAAAAGACAAAAATTCAATCAAGAACGAGCACAGTTAGCACCAATTTATCTGTGCCTTCATTAAAAATATTTTTCCATAACAAAAGCCTTGTTTTGTTAAGAAATAAAATGTGTTAAAGTGCCAAAACTGCATCAAGTTCTTCCTTAACCGGACTATCATTTTTTGTGGTAATATACCAGAAAGCTTGACAGCATATTCTATATGTGAACAGCAGATCAGCTGTCTTGCCATCTACAGCTACTTGTTTATATCATTACCGTCGAAGTCCTTTCCCGTGTAAGCTTTGAAATAGGCTTTTTACTTCCATGATCTTGTCATATACAACGTATTTGAAGTCCTTGAAATTTTAATTAATTTTTGATTGATGAAAACTAAAATTTATCTTCTTGGTTTTAAAGTCCTATTTATTTCTTGCTACTGATCATACCAGAATATTAATTTTTCTTTTAGAAAATGCGCTTAAAAGAAATCGAACTGGTCAAACAACACATTTACAAAAAATTCTTAGAAAGGCTCTATTTGAAAATTCTATTTGAATGTTATGAACCGCGAATTTCCTTTCTCTTCTTCTACTTGGAAATGCACTGAAACATAAAGAGTTGCCCAACCCTTTGCTTTCATGGATGAAGCCAGTCTGTTGAATATCTTTTCAGAGGGAAGAAAATTATTGCAGTTTTCTCCTCACAACTGGAATTTATAATCCCCACCCATTTAAAAAAAAAAAAAAATGCTGTGACATTGCACGTTGGCTATGAGAGCAACTCTTTGATGAAGAAAAAGCAGAGCACCTCTTTACTACACAGATATCCCTTCGATGAATTAGGAAATTTTGATTATTTTTTAGCGTTGTAAGACTCGTGAATGAATCTAGTTCTTTTACTATTTGTCAGTTTGGATAAAAACTGTAAAAAAAGGTAAGTGATCAGTTCAAACACTTCGCTTAATCTTTATTTAACTTAGTAAGTTGTAACAAAAATGGGTAAATATAATAATTAAGAGCTATAATAATTAATAGTAATAATATAATAATTAATATATTAAGAGCTAAATTGGTTACACTTTCCTACCTGTTTAAGTTTCAGTAAATAAGCGTATACATATTTGTATAATTCATTAAAAAATTTATTTCATATTTTAAAAAAATGAAAAATTCTAGTTTTATCCTAGCTTCAAGCTATCTAGTTTAATAGAAGCAAATAAGAATTGTTATTAAACTTTTTAATTCATCAATGAATGAGTTAAATTTATAAGATTTTTTACATTTTTTTAACAGTACAAATTTACCTTAATATTTAGTTGTTCTTTCTTAACCGATTCACGCCTTCCATATCACGCGCCATTTTTAGCCCAGAGGGGCAATTTGCTCAGAAGGGTTATTAATTTCATTTTGGCATTTTGCGTTGGTTCACTATAAATAGTTTTCACATTTTTCAAATTGTTGCCACCAAATATTAGAGCCTTGCATTATATTTAAAGAAATTAAATAATTTTATAAATTCTTCTTTACTTATGAAATTAAATAATGAAGAATCTGAATTAAATAATCGGCATCTGGAAGCTCAGATATGGAATTAGTTTTATTATCTATTTCATGTTTTATAAAACTTTAACAAATTTTTGATTAACAAACTCAAGATTTCAAAGCGAGCAATGGCAACACTATACGAAAAGAAAAAATCTGAAAGCTTTCAGATTTTACATTACGCCGAAAGAGACTTTTTTTTTAACCTTTTGTGTGTTACCTTTATTTATTAAATGTTCTTTGCATTTTAACTATAAAATTCAATTCAACAGCAGCATCGCAAAATAATTTTAAAACGAGCATATCTTTAGAATTTTCGATACACAGTCTAAAAAGATAAAAATGTTTTTTGTTCCGTGCAGTGTTGCTATTCCTTACTTTGAAGTTGTTAATCAAAAATTCTTTAATGTTTGATAAAGTAGGAAATGGATAATAAAACAAAATCCGAATTAGAGCTTCCAGATACCAATATTAGGTGGAGGCTTACGTTATTCAAAATTTGACGACTCTAGGTACCGTTGTTTTATCACAATGCGAGAAACATACATACACTTATACAGATTCTTTATTATGTTTATTTCTTTAACTATAATACAGGACTGTAATATTTCGTGGCAACAGTTTGAAAAGTGAATCAACGCAAAATGCCAGAACGAAATTAGTAGCATTTCTGGGCTAACGCCCTTTAGGCTATAAGGTATTTCTCCTGCCTTCATAGTGTGCCTTCGTGGTGTGGTCAGTACACTGAGCCGGTTTTCAGAGATCCGTGGTTCGATTCCCGCCGAAGGCGATTGCTAATTTTTCATCTTGCCTACTTCTAAAAATACCTAATGTCTCTACAGTGGCGCCCTCTTAAAAGGTGTTGGATGATGATTCTCCTCACTCAGGATTTGGCGATTGGGTCCTCTAAAAACCTCAATCGCCCTTTAAAAGGGGGAGTATGTAAGGTATTTCTCCCGCCTTCCTAGCGTGCCTTCGTGGTATAGTGATCAGCACACTGAGCCGGTGTTTCAGAGGTCCGTGGTTCGATTTCCGGCGAAGGCGATTGCTAGTTTTTCCTCTTGCCTGCTTCCAAAAATACCTAGTGTCTCTACAAGGCTAAAGCCATTTGCATCTCAAGCGCGCGAGACTGTGTATCGGAAATTATAAAGATACGGTCTTTTATTTTGTAATAATACTGTTGAATTGAATTTTATGGTTTAAGTGCGAAGAACATGATATTTAATAAATAAAGGTAACATACAAAACGTTAAAAAACACGCCCCTTTGGGCGTAATATAAATTCTGAAAGCTTTCATATTTTTTTTATTATTATTAAAATTATAAAAGTAAACCATAAATCGAATAAAGAAGCATAGGTGAAGCGACAGAAACTTAATTTGCAGTTCATAACTACCATTTGATTCAGCGACTAACTTTCAGCTTCGCAGCTAGCCAGTTCTGCTTTGGATTTCACCTGTTTGTATCGAATGTCTAACTTTGTGAGGTACGGAGATTTAAGATATATTTACGAAATTTATATTTGCCGTGGCATTAGTAACAATATAAAGAACTTCATTTCAAATTCCTTTATTTAAAAGTCACATTGCTATTTATTGTAAATTTCTCTATTTTTCAATTCAGCTAAAATTTGACCTGCACTAATATTATAAGTCCAAATGTGGTAAATTCTACATTATAGTTTAATTTTTATACTAATTTATCGTTTTCAGATTTTTCGTATGATCCAAGTATTTTTGTTATGGCAACCAATGGCAAAGCAAAGCCTTGCAAAGACTTATACGTTACTAACAATGAAAGTAGGTCTCGTAAAGTATTTAATAATCTTAAATTTTTTTTAAAATGCTGTGATAATATGAAAGGTGAGGCAGATGCAATGAAATTTATGATGTTTCAGAAGTCTTGGTCCATTTGTATCGGAAGAATGTTTATTATCCAAAATAATGATTCAGGAGAATAGAATGCTTAAATAATTTAGAAACATGGAAGGATAATGTTAATTTTATTAACAGTTAAATTTTGAGTTAAACATTCTTTCCTATCGCTTCTTGATTTCAACTTAACACTTCCGACAAGAACGTAGTTTTAGAATCCCGTCTGAATGCTAATGAGGAAGAGCGGTATTTAAGCGCGAAGTTCTACAGTCTTAGTTAGAGAGATACCAGATATTCTGGCTAGCACGCGTCCGCCTTTTTAGGCTACTCTCCCGTAAGCTATTATTACGCTCGGCCGTACTTTTGGCCCTTGATAGCTTTGCAGTCACTTAGCGTTAAGTGGCAGACTCTGTTAGAATTTTGATAGCTTCGGCTAAATCTTTTTAATTAAGATTAGTTTAGTTTATTTCTTAGTCTCTTAAGTTGAAGCCCGAGTGTCGGCTTTACTGTACAACTCCATGGAGGAGTTTCGTTAAACTTTAGTTGGAATAATAAAGGGTTATTTCATCCTTCTCACTTGTTGTTTTCTACCTCACGAACTCAAGCGATTATTCGCTTACTAGTATCTTAAGATTCCTCACTTTCAACTGTAACTTAGAAATACACAGTGGAGAATCATACAAACACTTCATTCAACATGTCCTTTTTAAAGTTCTCTATAAACTCCAACCTCTTCTAAAATGAAACATTTTTCCGGAACACGAGACCTGAAACATGAGTATTTTTATCGGCAGCATTTGAAATTCGAAATTTTGTTTGGTATATATTTTTAAATCTTTAACCCGTAGATCTTTAATTTTATAAAACCTCAAGCAAAGAAATCAAGAAATGAGTGACTGGGTGAATGTCGAATCCATATTTTGTACTTCCTTATTATAGCGGTCCCCCAAAATTTAATTGCTAATCAACCGAGATGTATCATGTAGCGAGGTATAGGAACACGTGGCGGGATATCTCGATTGGTTAGCTATTCAATCTTGGAAGCTGCTATAATAAGGAAGTACCCATATTTTTGCGAATTCTATTTGTGAGTATTACTTTCAACCACATTTATGCTCCAATCCAATGATTAGTGAAATCATTGCTACGATAACTACGTACGTTGTTAGAAAAATACAGTAATGCACTTCTTACTGATTCATAACCATATCATAAATGCCAAATGAAATTAGGTCTTTCATTAAAAACATTTTTAACACATCGAGATAACCTTTGCTTGTTATTAGCACTTTGGAAGTTTTTTTATAGCCGATAAGAGACAACTGTTAACATTAGGCGAGCCTTTTTTCCAACGGAAATGTTACATAAGGCTATTCACCAGCCTGCTGTCTTTTGCTGTGATGATTAAACATTCTAAAAGTATGGAATGTAACCTATTTGTAAACAAAACAGGTTCCATGATCTTCCTTTTCAACAGCCTCAAGGTGATCTGCATTCATAAATGAATTCTTCTTCAGTAAGTGTGCGAAACACCCGAATATGATATTCTCCTTTCTTAAGGAAATAAAGTTCTCCAAACATGTACCTGGAAACATCAAGTTCTGTTCACTCCGTATGCAGAAGATTTAGAACTTTTTTCAACTGTTTCATTAATCTTTAGAAAGTATGTCTTTCTTTGAATTATTTCATCCAACATGCATCGAAATAGAGGTCTGTTAACTTATGACGTTATACTGGTTTTGATGGGCCAGTTGTGTGGAATTTCCTCTCATAAAAACACATTGGCGTTTTCAATTAAATGGAATTTTTGAAATACCGTGCATAAATTGCACAATAAGATATCCCATATTCTGGGTGCTGCGTTTTCAGTATCGTATAAGACAACGCACTGTAAAAGCATTTTCAGTTTTTCATAACGAAATTGTTTTCTCTTTTTAATAAATTTTAACTGATATTTAACGCCTGCTAAAGTTCTGTTATAATTCTAGAATAACTGTTCTACCAGTTTTTTCCATTTGATTTTCTTAATATGGAAAAGAAAGCCATTCAAGTAAAAAAAATAATATTAAGAAAATATTCTGCTTGTCAAATATCTTTAACAAATGGCCTAGATACCTGAAATCTTGGCAACTTATCTTCTCAAACAAAAGAATAAAGAATTTATCAATAACAGAACAGCAATAACTAACATTTTACTGAAATGACAGTTTGTAGTTAAACTCTGTATAGTCATTAGAATTTTTTTTTTTTTTTTTTTTTTTTTAGTCCAAAGGGATTTGAATCCCGAAGGACTATTAGTTTCGTTTTGGCATTTTGCGTCGGACTCATAAATGTCGGTTCACTTTTCAAACTGTTGCCACAAAATGTTAGAGTCCTGCATTATATTTGAAGAAATTAAATAATGAAAAATCTGCGTAAATGTATGTATATTTCTCGTATTGTGATAAAACAACGGTACATAGAGTCATCGAATTTTGAATAACGTAATCCTCCAACGAATATGAGCATGTGGAAGACCAAATTTGAAATTTGAAATTTGTTTTATGATCGATTTCCTATTTTTTAAAACTTTGACGAATTTTTGATTAACAAACTCAAGGATTTCAAAGCGAGCAATGGCAACGTTGTGCAGAAAAAACATTTTTATCTCCAGCGCGTGAGTCTCTGTATCGGAAATTCTAAAGATATGCTCGTTTTAAAACTATTTTGCGATATTGCTGTTGCACTGGATCTTATGGTTTAAGTGCGAGGAACATGATATTTAATAAAGAAAGGTAACACACAAAATGTTAAAAAAACGCCCCTTTGGACGTAATTTAAAATCTGAAACATTTCAGATTTTTTTTTTTTTTTTTTTTTTTTTTTTTTGAAGCAGGAAACGTGAAAAATGGGTATTGCCATCGCCGGGACTGACTCGAACCCCGGACTTCTCGAATACGCATCGAGTATGCTTCAGATTACACCACGAAGGTACATGGAAAGAAGGGAGAAAATACCTTATAACTTTATGTAAATTCTAAAACCGAAAGCGTTTCTAACTTGGGAAAAATGCATGGTTACCCTACAATCTGTAAAAGTTCTCATCTAACTGCTCAATCAATTAGATACCTGAATTGTTTTCTGTATCTTAAACTTCTGCTTTAATTTTAACAGAGAATCTCAGAATCATTGTCGGTGAACAGATTAGAAACAACATTCTACTTATTATAATTTCTTTCATAGTTCGATATGGAATCTCCAACAGGAGATTTTCAATTGTCTAAGTTGTCAAATATGATTGCCTTAAACTAGCTGGAATAATAACTCATAAGTATGCAGGTTTTTCTTTCAGAATAATATGCTCGTATTTTCATTTACCATTTGGAGTGTATTGTTGAATGCATCGGTGAACGGTGAACTGTACTCTGCTTTAGCTGGACTCGAAACTCTTCTTGACACCCAGAGGTTGATCATCGATACCTTAGATCATTACATTGAGTTATCAGAAAGCAGAATCAAGAGAATTAAAAGGTAAGTGATACTTATTTAATTACATAAAATTAATCTTTATTAATGCACTCTTTGCTTAAAAAATTAATCAAATGCTCATGAGTAAGTAGCTTCTAAAGAAGTTCTAACTACAGTGTCTCGGGGCTTGTTACTTGCCATCCTATTTTGAAAATTATATAGTTTTTTATTACGTTTGGTTATTTAATATAACTGATTTGATAAGATTTGTATTTCTATTCCCAGAAGCAGCGGTTTATGTTTGGGTTACTTAGATACTTCTACGCGATACTTCTTCTAATGCCCTTGGTTCTTTATACCTGAATTTATATACTTTTAATATAGTGCCTTAATTTCTTGGGTATATTGTAAGAGGCACGTATTTATACATTCTTATAGACGTCAGAAAATTATTCTAGGCTGAATATATACGTCCTTGCCGGCCAGACACTTTTAAAGGCTGAATTTCATTGTTAAATCCAGGTTAGTCTTGCCGAGGCCCCAGTGTGCAGTATGTGCATCGAAGCCTACAGTTAGAAATCAAAGGAAATTTAAGAAAAGATTTGAAACTGACTTGAATAGGGATAGATAGTGTTATAAGTACATCTTTGAAGAAAATGGAATTTGGTTTTCTCTCACAATGAGATTTCCTTTTGGTTAAGAGCATTTAGCACCTTAAAAGTTACATGCTTTCAATAAATATTTCAATACTGCTGTTTAGGAAGTTACAGTATAACGAACCATGATACAAAGTGACATTTAGGATGCCCATAACTGAATCGTGAAACACCTAGAGGTCAAGTGCGCTAAATAAGCAAAAACATTTGCTGTGATTAATACTTGGAAAAGACTTTATGTGCTTTTTATGTGAAAAGACTTTATGTGCATTAAAACCATGATTCTTTATCTTTACATTTGATTTATGCGCCGACGACTTGAGCCAGTGCCTTTCGCACTTGTCTGTAAATAATTAAGTCATTCTTCCCTCTTACATACTTTTGTTTCATTTTTCGTCCTCTTTATGAACTAACAAATAAAGATGAGCTTCCAATACTGCATAATTTTGATTTACTTCTATATAACCTACTTCTTCAAAAAGTTCACACACAAAGCTAAAGTGCGTTGTATAGTCATATATAGGCTTACAGTACGTGCGGACACAAGGTGCAAGGACTTTTTCAAATTACAAGTACTATATGCTTGACGGATTGACAGTGGTTAATTAGTTGAAATTTATGGACTTAATGAGCTGTGAACATATACACATATTTCAGGTTATTCGTACTGTTTATACTAAGAATACTCTTTTGTACTGAAAATCTGACAATTTACCAAATTCTCATTAGTAACCGATGTGGGACATTGTTGAATTTTATTTGTAATTATTGAATTTGTTTTATTGCTAACTGAAACTATAAATTTAATCATGGCATTTAAAAATAATGCAATAAAAATGGTATTTCAAGGAGCTGTAAGTCGTGAGTTATCAATAAATTTAACGTGATCACATTCAGTTTTAAAGCAGAAAGTAAATTTTGCAAGTAAACCTGCAACAGAATTTATACAAACAAAATATATTATTTACACATATATATTATTAAAAATTATACATTATTATATAATATATATTTTTAATAATATTATATAATAATTATATATTGTTATATAATATATATTTTATAATATATTTTGTATAAAATATATAAATATACAATATATACAAAATATATTATTTACACATATATTATTATTAAAAAACATAAGTTCAGACGTTAGCTTTTCAAAAATTTCATAAGACACATTGTTCAGAAGGGATTTCTTTTTTTATAATTTTGCACAAAGTATGAGGTAAAAATTCCTCTCTCTCTCTCTCCCCCTCTTCCTCCTCTTTCTGTCTTACTCTCTTCCCCCTACCTCTCTCTGTGTGTATATTCACGAAATCTAAACACATAGTTTTGTACTCGGATATGTACATCTCGAAGCTCAAATTTTAAATATTAAAATTTTACTTCTGTTACTTCGTGTTTCACACGAACTTAATAAATTTTTGATTCATTAACAGCGATTTAAGAGCTATGCAACACCGTGATGCGACTCCCAACACAAAGGAACTTTATTTTCTCTTTCAGATTTTATCTGTTCGTTATTGACTTACAGATCAAGCAATTCAAAATCAGTGAACGTAATATTTAATAATGTTTTTTTTTTTGCTTTATCATCTAATTAATTTAAGTGAAAATATGTTTAGTTTACGATACATCTAATTAACAATTTTTATGAAACATTTGCGGTATGTTTTTTCGTGATAAAGCGCCATATGATGTGGATTTTCCCCCAAAAAATCATTAGCTTTTTTCCGGGTACAGTTGCATTCTCATCAGTGCTAAATTAATTCCTCAATTCACTACTTTATCTTTATCATAAGTTCTAATGGGGGAAAAGCTGGAGCTGGATAATTACAAACTCTTAGTAAGAAGTGCGTGAAAGAAAAAACTGAGAAACCCTGCTTCAAGCAAAATTTTTGCCATTCCATTCTGTAGCGACATTTCGGTAAACTTACCATCGAAAACTAGAAATATTTATTTCTTTTTTACTTCCTTGTACAAAGTAAAGGAAGTATTGTGATCACGAAAAATATTGTAAAACGGAATCGAAAGAGATTTTTTTCATGACTTATGTATGTACTTCGCATCACTCAAAAACGATAGCCTCAGAAAGTTGAAGTTTTGTACATAGGACTGCTATAACATGTAGTTGCGCACCTCCCTTTTTGGTTGCAATCGGCCTCGCGAAAAGCATACGTATATAAATGTATACCCGCTCTGTGCACCGGCTTGGTGATTTCACTTTCTTATACTTATATGTTGGTAAATCGTTCATTTTTTTGATTTAAAAACGATTGAATTATGTTAGTTTTATCTTCCGGTTAAGGTATGTATGTCTTTAGTTAATCTGCATGCAAGAGTTGTAGAATTATCAACAATTTAAAAATTGTTTAAGTGCGGTTAATTTTTTTACCATAGCAGCTATATTCGTTTACATTTGAAACTTAGCAGAATAATAAATTAATTGTTTTCTGTAACTTCAGTGTCTTTTTGCCGAGTGGAACCAAAAGGAAACTTTTAAGTTTTATGTAACTTTAAACAAGATTAAATCTGCCTGCTGGCCGAATTGCTTGTCTTTGCATAGAAACTGTTATTTTAATTGTAAAAATTGTTTTTTTAATTGTTTTAACTATATTCGGTGTTTTATGTTTTTTCGTATGTTTCAATTTTTTAATGAACGTATTTTGAATTTTTATGTATTTTTGCCTTCCGCGAAGTGAGAACTGAATTACTTGAATGAGAAATATATCTCCGATAAAATTCGAGGAAATAAGTTTAAATGAAATGCAGCAAAAAATATAGACCGTGCAACGAAGTAATGTAGTATCCACATCAGATATTTTTTGTAGAACTCTGAAACTCTTTTGTAGGCTCTGAAACTGCCACAGAAGCATTACTCCCCCCCACCCATTTACCAGATGTCTTGACCTACTTATAATTTCGCGTCAAATCAAGATTCACTGTCTTCTTCTTGTATTTAACAATGCTGGATATTCAAGAGAAAAATTTGTTTTGTTATTCATAGTCTTTTACCTGGAAATAAACAAAGACAATTCCCTAAAGAGACGCTTTCAAATAAACAGTAGTTTCTGTTGCAATGTCAGCTGAAAGGAGTGGAAGTGCATATCTGTTCCCCGTCTTCCTAAGTTTTTATGTTTCTGATATAACCTGCTGTAGACAGAAAGTCTTCCTTTCCCGTCTTCCTGAGCCTTTTATGATCCTGATACAATTCGCTGTGGAGAGAACGGGACAGTCATCGATCAATTACCTCCTTTCATTTTCGCTGCATTCTGAGGGTATGGTAAATGCGATGAATTTAAGCGATGAATCTCCCCTTAGGGTAACTATCCAGAACGCATGTATCGTTGCTGATGCCTGAAGACACTTTTCAAATCCGAGAGTTGTAAACGGCAAAGTGGGTGCAATACCAGCAGACAAAAATTTTATTCCAAGGTACAAGATTTTTAAGTATATAAACAGAAATAAATGCGTACAATTAGAACTAAAAATTTGCTTGAAATATTCCAAGTTTAAGTTTCAAGACTGTTAAAAAATGAAACTTTCACGAAAATTCCAATCAAAATTATAGCAGAGTTTTTAAAAATAATGTTTCTTCCAACACGATCGCCGCTCGAAAGAAAAAGAATAGAACCACGTGTTAAAGGGAAAAAAAGACAGAATTTAACAGGGAACAATACAAATATCTCACTAAAACGTTTGGTATGAAATTTTTCTGTGCGAATACTGGGTTTAGCCTCTATGGTTCTATTCTGCTTCTAGCATATGGCAGGAGGGTGATCCTTGGTGCGAAATTTGACATTTCTGAATTTCATTCCTTTTTTAGAATTTCTTTACATGAAATCTTATATTGTACAGGTATGCCTCTTGTCACCCGTTTTTCCTACAACACGCACTCACTCTTACATAGTAAAAAAAAAAAAAATATGACGTGTACACTGCATGACTTCCTTGTACGGAATATTAAATTATACGCATTTTTTCCTTGCATTTTGTTTAAACTTATTTAATTGAATTAAATCTACTTCGCCGACAGCGCATAAACCACAATAGAATAAATGCATTCTTTAAAATTCACTCTATTTGTTTACCATAGCGACACTCTGGCGCTAGGTTCACTTAACAGTATTATATTTCGTTCATATTATAACTCAGAATGCACAAAATTTATATCATTTAAAGAATTATCTAATCGTTGCCACATGTTCTGTTCAAATACTATAATAAAGTTAGAACGATGTATAATAGAAATTAAGCAAACAAAACAAAAATGAAACAGTTTTTCACAGAGGACTGAGTATTTCTCATTCAATTAATTCAGTTCTCACTTCGCGACAAGGCAAAAATGCATAAAAACTCAAAATATCTGTATTAAAAATTACGAAGTAAATCTTAAACATT